CCTGGTTTGCCCAGGACTCTTTCAGTTTTAGCTGTGAAAGCCCTGTGTCCTGGGAAACCCCTCAGTTGAAAGCAAAGCAGATGGCTGGTCACGTTAGGAATAGTTCAGACAAGTGACTGAGATCGGAGGTCCAAACCAGAGTGACGCATTAGTATGTTAACAAGAGAACAGAGCGTGACAACCAGAAATCCAAAGCAATTCAGAGCTCTGGTAGGCAGTCAGTGAAATTGGATTATATTTTGTCCGAGAGCAATTTGACCAAATGAAATTCAGTCGAAAGCAGCATTGTCTTAGCAACTTTATGTGGCATTTGGGTTGAAATAAATTTTGAAAAAAAGGAATATTTTATCATTGTCTTAGCAACTTTATGTGGCATTTGGGTTGAAATAAATTTTGAAAAAAAGGAATATTTTATCATTGTCTTAGCAACTTTATGTGGCATTTGGGTTGAAATAAATTTTGAAAAAAAGGAATATTTTATTCACTGGTTTTCAAGTTTTATATCATGATAATAACAACAACAACAATAATAATAATAGCAGTAGTTACCATTCGTGAATGCTTACCATATGCCAGTCACTTTACCAGATTTTACAGATATTCTCACTTTTTTTTTTTTTTTAAAGATTTTATTTATTTATTTTGACACAGAGAGAGAGACAGCGAGAGAGGGAACACAAGCAGGGGGGAATGGAAGAGGGAGAAGCAGTCTTCCCGCAGAGTAGGGAGCCCGATGTGGGGCTGGATCCCAGGACCCCGGGATCATGACTTGAGCCAAAGGCAGACGCTTAACCGAGACACCCAGGCGCCCCACAAATATATATTCTTTTTTTTTTTAAGATTTTATTTATTCATTTGACAGAGAGAGACACAGCGAGAGGGAACACAAGCAGGGGGAGAGGGAGAAGCAGGCTTCCCGCCGAGCAGGGAGCCCGATGCGGGGCTCAATCCCAGGACCCCGGGACCATGACCTGAGCTGAAGGCAGACGCTTAACGACTGAGCCACCCAGGCGCCCCAAGATATTCTCACTTTTAATCCTTACCACCAGCCTGTGAGATAAGCACTGTTATTTTCTTCATCTTGCAAATGAAGAAACTGGTGGTTTGAGAGATTAAGCTGTTTGCACAGTTACACAGGCAATCACCCGCAGAAAGAGACTTTGAACCCTGGCCAGTCCAAAGCCTGTGCTGTTTAGTCACTATGCGGTACAACTTCCGGATATCAAGAACCAGGTCTGTTTATTTTTTATGTTTTATTTTACTGCAAAATAACCCCCGTTAATTCTAGAAAAATTGTAAGGTATGAACTAGCAGAAGAAGACTGCAAAATACTTAAAATTACCTCTACTTAGAAATAAGCTCTGTTAACATGCTTGTTGGTATCTTTTTTTTGTGGGGCACATTGGTATGCATATATATATATACATATATATGACATATTTTTTTCTTATAAAATTACATCTGGTAAATTTTAAAACCAATTGCTAGGCATTTAATTTATTTCAACTTCTTTTGCTGGGTATTTATGCTACTGCAGCTTTTTGATGCTACAAACACCTTGCAGTAGAAATAATTAGCTGAAAATGATATACAAATAAAGCAAAATGAAACAAGACAACAAATTCAGAATGATGGACAGTAATGTCAGAGATGGGTAACAGTTGTAAAACCATTCACTCTATGTTGTATCCTGATTACCAACACAATGAAAACCACTGGCTGAGGAATATTTGCTTTTGGGGCGCCTGGGTGGCTCAATTCGTAAAGTGTGGGACTCTTGGTTTCGGCTCATGTCATGATCTCAGGTTGTGAGAGCAGCTCCTGCTCCTGTGGGGCTGTGAGCTCAGCGAGGAGTCTGCTTGAAGATCCCCCCTCCCCCACCCTCTGCTCCTCCCCCAACTTGTGCTACTGCGCGCTCTCTCTCTCCCTCCCTCTAAAATAAATAAATAAATCTTAAAAAAAAAAAAAAGGAATATTTGCTTTTGAACAGATCATCATGTTGAACAGCCTTCTTTCAGCCAAAGCATTTTTTTTAAAGATTTTATTTATTTATTTGAGAGAGCGAGCATGAGCAGGGAGAGGAGCAGAGGAGGAGGGAAAGGGACAAGCAGACTATGCTGAGCGCAAAGCCTGACCTGGGGGCTCAATCCCAGACCCCCAGATTGTGACCTGAGTGGAAACCCAAGAGTCTGATGCTCAACTGTCTGAGCCACCCGGTGCCCCCAGCTCAAGCATTTTCAGGAAAATCGCCAGGAGCCCATAACAGGAACCAAAAGCAGGACCCCAGACCCCAGGCAGAGTCCAGGAAGGTGCTAAATCCTAACATGTAAATATAAAGAGTGATTTTCTTATGGAGGGAACTGTGTTCAGGGGAATAAGCCACAAAGCCAATGACCAGAAATGATGGCTATAATAAGAAGTAAATTTCAGAATCAAAATATTAGAACAATCATCAAAGCTGGAACAGAAAGTCAGAGCCAGGCTAACGACAACAGGGAGTTGATGCTGAGTCCCAGGACTTTGGGTCAACACCCTTTAAATCCTTCTTGCCAAAGGTCACAGAATTGGGCCTGGGGGTGAGCCTACAGGTGAGGAATATTGCCCCAAGAGCTCAAGAGAGCTCCAGAGATTAGGAATCTGGCAGGTTCTGGCAATGGGAAGTTTTGAAGGAGAACAATATAATGAAGAGTTGTTATTGATTAAATTAGTTAAGTGTAGGGAAGGAAGCAATTTAAGAGGATACTTCTTAAAACTACTGTGGTAGCAAATGAAAGGAAGAGACTCTTGGTCTGGGTAGTGGTAGGAATTACATGTCGAAAGGTATCTATATATTTCTATTAAATAAATAGATTGGAGTAATACCTGTAATGACATTCCTCTTCGTACCATATATTGGCATACAGACAAAACATGTAGTTGGCCCTTGGTGGCTATAATGCTATTACTTTTATTAAATTGAGGTTTTAACTGGTATATTAATTTTTTATTATGGAGTCCCTAAATAGGCATGCTATGTCTTATGATTGCAGTTTAAGTTAATGTTATCATGCTTTAAAATTAAAAATTAGTATCTTTTCTTGGTGCTATGAAGGCCATCACAAAATTGATGATTAATATTCTGGAAAGACGTTTCAATTAAATTTCTTGGATATTGATCAGATAAGCGCTAAGATTTATGATTGTATTCTGAAATCTTCATTAGGTGAGTCCTTTGTTGTTTTGGGTAACTCTTGGCAAGTGGTTTCCAAACCCTGGAAAATACCACTTCTGAGTTAATTTAAAAAGAGACCGCTCCTTTGCTGAGTGTCTAAGTTGTGTTTTGTTTATTTTTGTTGCACAAAGAGTAACAATTGTGTAGAAGTTGACTGTGTTCTTAATTAGAAATAACTTGGTATATTTTCTGGAGGTTTGAAATTCAAAAAACTTTCAAGGATGCTCTAAATATTATAGAAACATCCTTTAATTAACTGTAACTGATGGTTAGATTTGTTCAATGCTTTGAACTTTTGCATAAAGCCTTTCTTGACCAGAAATGACAAATATGATCATCATTTCTGTCTCTTGCATGGAATTTTCTAATGTATATTGTTTTAAAAATTACAAAGATTCTGTTCATTGTAAAAAACAAACCAAAAAACCCTAAAACAGTATTGAATATAGACTACTTTTCCTCCCAGCCCCCAAACGATAACTGTATAACAGTTTGATGCATATTTTGCCAACTTTTCACAAGGGTTCTGCTTGTGTATACATATCTACACGCACACATAGATACGTTACATGTCCCTCTTCCTCCCCTCTCCCTTCTCCCACTCACCTTACCTATTCCCCCTCCTCCTCTGTCTCTTCCTCCTTAGCAAGAGTGTGGTGATAATGCCAATGGAGAGAAGGCTTTGTTCTGTGTTCTCTCCCTTATTGAATTTCACTCCTTGGTGGAGCTTATTGTCCTTGTCCTTCCCTCCCCTTGCCTACCACCAAGGTTCAATAAATTCAGGCTATGCTTTGCTTCTTTTTATCCTCAGCAGCCAAACTAGGAGCCCTCCCGGAACAAATCCTCAACTATGTAAAAGACAGCAATTCTGGGTGTTTCTCCTGGGGACAGCGAGCTAAGCAGCCCCAGTTCTGGCCTCCCTGGTGATTGGCCGAAGGCCCAGAGGGGCTTTTTGTACCAGTTCATTCCAAGTGTGAAGTTTCTCTGGGGTTTCCTTGGGAAGTAGGTTCTTCTTTGTAACATTTTTCTTGTGTCTGTAATGGGTTGAAATTTCTTCTGCAGTAGTTATCTATCATTTCAATGCTGATTTCTAATCTTCCAGAATTTTCCAAAAAAAATTTTAATGTGTTGATAGCGGAACTTCCTTTCTTCTTTGTTCTTCTGTCATTTTAGTGGAATTTAGGTACACATGATGATTCAGTCAATTCTTTGAACCTCTCAGGTGCCTGGTCTTTTTTCTATTTTTGGTCCAGGTTTTTGGAAATTCTTTTAGGGTCCGTTTGCTATTCCTTTGACTTTTGTTATAACTTGAAAGCTTTTTTTTCTTCCAGTTTTGGATTTGATATTAATTGTAATTAGGTCACTGATAGCACACTGTTCTCTGGGTCCAGAAATGACACCATTACTTAACAAATTTCTTTTTATTGCATTTACGGGCCTCCACAAGGTCTTACTGCATTAGGCAAATTAACAATGTGAAATTCACTTTTAGAAATATAAATAACTAGCCTTTCATTTGATATATATAAAGGTCACTATCTGTAATATATATATTTGTATTTTATTTGCCAGGTGACTGAATATTGTCAGTTTTCTTTTTCAGTATCTAGATCAGTGGGAGCTATAAAAAAACAAACAAATGAATAGTAACTTTTAATGGGCACATGGGACTCAATGTATCTTAAAATGATTTCTTCATTACTATTAGAAACAAATGAATGGTTCAACATTTTTTAAATCATTGAGATATATTTGTCATACAACAGCATATTTTTTAATTTTGTCTCAGGAAGGAGAAAACATTTTCTATTTGGCAATTGAAGATATAGAAACAGATACAGAGCTGCTGATTGGCTACCTGGACAGTGACATGGAGGCCGATGAGGAAGAACAGCAAATTATGACAATGGTCCAAGAAGGGGGAGTTAAAAATTCTAAAGGACAATCAACAGCTGGCAGAAAAGGTATTGCCTCTAACTGGTGATCTGAGAGAAGGGAAGTTGTAGGAGAAATACAGTTTGAACTGCGGGTGAATTATAGTTGCATTATCATAGGGGGTTGTCAAAATAGTTGTGGTCAAAACGACTGTCAGAGGCTATCCAGCTGTAAGCCCACCTTTCTTCCAGCAGGAGGAGAATGCTGGGTGTGGGTGGTAGATGTACCCTGTAGGACTGCCAAGGTCAGCGCCAGCTCCTGGCTCCTGGCTCGCGCTGCTATCCCTGGTACGGTGGGGTGGCGAGCGATGAGGAATTTTATACTCCAGCCCTGGATCTGCCACCTAGTCAGTCTTGGAACCGAGCAAGTCACTAACTCTTGGAAACGTTACGTTCTCATCTGCACAAGGGGAAGGGCGAGTGCAGAGGTGTCCAGAGGGCGCTGCTGGATGCTGGGCCTCCCTCTTGTTAGAGATCCTTAGAGAATCTGGAGCTTCTGGAAATCTCTTTCTGTTCTGATTGTAGAGGCCTGCAGGACTGTTAGGTTGTTTCAGTTGGGTAGCCCAAAACAGTGTGTTGGCTGTAGGTCTGACCTGCTTAGAGCAGTCCTGCAATCCGGAGATGTCGCTTGTTTGCCATCTGCTGGGGAATAATCGATTATTAGTGGAACTTGTTTCTGTTATGTTGTGTTTTACTCCTGATGGGGTTTGAAAGAAATATGAATGATGTTATAAGTATTCCCATTTTGTAATAGGCTGAAATTTACTATAGGGTAGTTTTTCATTTTGTTTATTAGCAAAGCCATTTCAGAAGTGACACTAGCTTCTTTAGTCACCATAGTAGTAAAGTCTCTCATAGGGATTTCCTATTCTAACTGTACGTTACTGGCTGAGAAAGTATAAGCATTCCGAGCATTGCCAGCTTATGCTTCTGTTTCTTTATTTTAGTTGGATTATTTAAGGGGAAAATGAGGACAGGTTTTCTGTTCTATCTTTCAAATATGCATTTTGCTGTTTTGCATTTCAGACTTTGGGTGATGGGGATTATTTCTGTATTATTCTGTGTTTTCTTTTTGAGGGGTATTTATTTATTTATGTGAATTACAGTATTACTGACTGCATTCCCTATGATGTACTTTTTGTATTTATTTTTTTATTTTTTTAATGTCACCACCCCACTCCCCCCAGGCATGTTATTATTGTGTCCACTATTTTAGCTTAAAAATGAGTCTCCTGCTTATCTATTATCACCCTGATTTTTCTTTAGTTAACAAATATCAAATTCACTTCGATCAGATTTACTTTTGTAAAAATAATCAACAGAAACTTAAATAGATTTTTAAAACATATGTACCAGGTACTTACATTATTAACATTATTGCTATTTTTACTTTAGAAATCCGTTTTTATTTAATAAAACCAACCCCCCCAATAAAAACCCAAAACACTGAATAACAAACCCACAACACAAAAGAAACAAATAATCCACTCAAATGTCAAACAATGGGGAGTTTAGTTAAATAAATATGGACCCTTATTTTTTTTAATAGAGAAAATGTTAAATGGAAAAAAAAAGAGCAACAGATGAAATTGCATAAAAAGTATGATCATAAATGTAGTTATTCTTAGACTGTGCATAAAATGTGAATGGACAAAAGACAAATCAGACTTGAGAATATATTATTAAGTGGTTGTCTCTTCCTTATGGGATTATTGGTCATTTTTATTTTCTTCATATTTTCTAAATTTTCTAAATTTCATCTTATTTAATAATCAGAAAAAATCTGTAATGTAGGTAGCGTACTTTGAGAAATTTGGGTGGAGCTGTGACCATCCATAGGGACTGTTAAGCCAGAGACGCAATGGAGCCTCAATGCACCTGCCGTAATGAGTGCTGTTTTTTTGACCTTGGTCTTTTTCACATATATGTGAGATTCCCCTTGGTGATTCCACATAGTTTGCCTTGGTTGGATTTTTTTCTCTTTGTGCACTCAGTGAACTCAGGATGACCCATTTCAGGGAAAACTTTTGCTTTCTCATTCAACGTTTGTAATAACTCTTTGATGTGAAAAGTGAACATTATAGGATAAATTAAAAATTGGTTTTGATTTTGTATTAATTTGCTGAAACAAGAGAAAGGAATTAAAAGACAATGTATTTCTCTCTAGTAACACTTCCTATTATTTTTCGTGGACAACATTATTAATACTCATAGAGATAATAAGCGTTTACTCTTCTGATACTATTAAACAGAATTAATTTTGATTTTAAAATGAAGATAAAACTGAGCAGTTCTTGGCTCTTAATTTTTGTCTTCTAAATCTGTTTCCTTGTAAATGTGCAGATTGCCTTGGCCGTAAAGAGGACTATGCTTGTCCCCAGTGTGACTCGAGTTTTACCAGTGAGGAAATTCTTGCTGAGCATCTTCAGACATTGCACCAGAAACCTACGGAGGAGAAAGAATTTAAGTGCAAGAACTGTGGGAAGAAATTCCCAGTTAAACAGGCTTTGCAAAGACAGTGCGTACAGCAAAGAATATCTAAAATTATAAGCTAACACTTTTTTAACTATTCTATTTGATTTGTTTTACAGTTTTTAACTTGTGCATGTGTGCATGTGTGTGTGTGTGACAGAGATAGGATGGGAGGAAGATAGTAAACATTCTATGTTGTCATTGTCATTAACTTATCTTTTCTTAGTATAATATGTTGATTTTGAAACATTCTGATTATTTACCTTCAACAAATGAGCATTGTTTATGCTAATAAGTCTGTCCATTTAATTACTTGCCATTAAATATCAAGCTCATTGGTTTACTAAGCTGAAATTCAGTTATGCATAATTTAGTTAGTGCTCTGAGGTCGCAAATCAAGTTTCAGTTGTCTACATTTGATATTCCCTCTGAAATCAGTAAAAGAAAAGTTTAAGAAATGGAGAGAGTTGAGAGTATAAAGAAAACAGGGACATTTTAGAAAAGAAGCACTGTTTATTTCATAACAATTTAGAAGGAACAATTTAATGATGAATAGGTATAGGATATGACATTAAGATGAATTAAATGATCCCACACATTGCTCTGCACCCTTTATTATTTGACTTTATATTAACAAGCATATAAAGTTATCTTTTTACTTAAATATTTTACACTCATTATTAAAAGTGAGAAGATAGATACATATATTTTTATTTTAAGAATGTCACCTTGTATATGAGCAAGAAATCTTTAAGAAACTTAATATTTCATTTTTTACTCATTAAAGTAAAATTCTGAAACGTGCTATATTTTATATTAAGACAATTTTCATATATATGAATCCACTTCACTTACAAAATTTGAGATGAAAAATTTCTGCTCAAAACTTAAACTTAAAAAAAACTTTTATAATAGCAAGAGAGTAAACATTTAGAAATTCTGTTATAGGCTTTTGAAAAAAAAGCAAGGGCTGTATACTTTTTAGTGAATAGACTTTAAAACTGCAGTCTAGTCAGCTTTTATTGAATCTACACCAAAGATACTTTTGCTGAGCTGGGTCTTACAGTTAAATTAGGTACTACTAAAAATTTTAAAGGGCAAAAGACAGAATGAAAACAGAGATCACAAACATGATTTTATTTAAAGTAGAGAGATTTTCTTAAGTTTTTGTCTTATGCTTCCAGTTTTTATTTCTTTTTGTTTCTTTTTTTTCTATTTCCCCTCAGTGTTCTTCAGTGCACGGCCAAAAGCAGTCTGAAGGTTTCTTCACGAAGTTTTCAGTGCTCTGTTTGCAGTTCTTCCTTCAGTTCAGCATCGAGGTTGTGTTTCTGAGTTCTCAGATGGCTGTTATCTAATTGTGGGTCATTTTTAGCATGCTGCTTTCCACGCTTTGTAGTGACTTAGTATCACAAGGCTGCTGTGGGAATTTAAGTACTTTCCTTTTTCCTGCCCAGGTAATGCATGAAACGACCCAGAAACTCGGCTAGAGAGCTTGCATTGCAAAAGCTTGCCACGATGTAAGAATTATTTAGGTATGGCTTCACCATCTCTTCTCCCTTTTCCCCTTGCCTGGTTGTCTTGCAGTTTTGAGCAGCACCAGGAGACCTGCCGGGGAGATGCCAGGTTTGTGTGCAAGGCCGACAGCTGTGGGAAGAGGCTGAAGAGCAGGGATGCCCTCAGAAGACACCAGGAAAACGTCCATGCTGGTGAGAAGTCCCTGCAGGGTCGTTTCTAAAGGGGCCTCCTCTCCCTGGGCTGCAGTGATCTGTTTTTAATTCTTGCTCTCGAGGAGAGAGCTTGCTTTTCCATTGGACTCATACAGATGTGGAGCTCTGACAGTGGACTTTTTTCTTTCACCGAACACTATTTCTTTTGCAAGTTGATTCAGCAGTGTTTGTTGTTTTTCCTATGTCTAAAGTAATCTTAGCTGGAAACCTAAGCTAGAACCTCCTGGAGCTTGGTAGGCAGGTGTATTAAGAATTAGTATTTTTAAATAACAATTTAAAGGTGAAATACAAAATTTCTCTTTACGGAGATATATTTTAAAACTGTTACATGATGCTCTTGTGCCTTAATATTTTTACAGTAAAATTCCATTTTTTAAATTTATATTTCTTCTGTATTGGAGAAAATTACTTACTGCATTTTGACATGGGAATTGAATGTATTTGGATTAATAGAGCAGATACTATTTGAATACCTTCTAATGGCCAGCTAAACAGTAAAACAAATACAACATTTGACTGTCACTTAGATCGTATCTGTTTAGCACATGGTAAATGTATTTTGGCTTAGGGATTGAATCTCTTGCACTGAGTTGAACAGATGGCTGTATTGTCAGAGTTAACTTTTCACTTCCTCAGTGTCTTTTCCTTAAAGGAGGCCGATGTTCGTGGAACTCCTCACAGCCGCCTGTATCTATACTTTTCTCATGTGTTTACATTTGCCCTTGGCTTCTGGGAAATGTGTGGAAAGATGTCTTTCTGGGTATTGGGAAAGTGGATTTCTCTTCTCCTGTCTTGTTTATTCTCACATGCATGAGAACAGGATAATCACTACTCAGCTGCCATATCCTCTCTTTGTTCATTGTCCAAAAAGTATCTCCTTTAATGTTAAAGTTATATGGAAGCGATATGAGTGTGACTACTGGCTCCCACTTGGCATCTCTGGGCCTCAGATTAAGTTTGAGCTCTAAATGAAAGCTCTAGGTGGTAGAAAGTATGGCCTTGGAAAATATAGCTTCAGGATGATATCAACAGGACTTTACAGTATTCTAACTTCTTTTTTTCCTTTTGAAGAATATATGGCTGATTTAGGGAAGATGGCATTTTTCTGAATTCATTATACTGGGCCTTCCCTATGCTTACAAAAGGCAAGCATAACTTTTTGATAGACCTGTCTTCGTAGTTTTTTTTTTTTTTAAGCTGTTATGTTTAAAATGCTGTTCTTAATTTTCTCCATCTTTGTCTGCAATGTATTACAACAAATCTTTCATGTCATTTTTAAAGTTAACTTTGCTGAACTAAGTAAAAAAGCAGATGCATACTGAAACTCTGGAAACTTGCATTCTTGTTATTGGGCATGTGGTCTTCAGGCTGTGCGATAAGCATAATTTCTTTGAGGCTTCTTGTAATTGGCCTTGGATATTGTAATATTACTGATTCTGGAAATCATGTTGACTTTGTAGGAAATAATTTATAAGAGGAATTTTTTTATATTTCTATGTTGTGGAAACATACGAAATATGGAGCATACTATATTAGTCAGAGGTTACTATATGTACCTTTTGTTGGGATCGGTACACAATCGGTCTCTCATTCATAGCCCCTCTTTTGCTTCTCCCCTTTCTTCTATGAGATACACACATTTGGAGAAAGAGTATTCCACATTCAGAATAGCATAGCAAAGCAGTGTTCACACGCTTGATTGTAGAATGCTTGGAAGCATACTTAAGCCACATTGTCCTGAAACTCACAGTACTTAGGTGACTGTGTATTCAGTACAGCTGTATTAATTTCTCATATATCTCCTACCATCATAAATAATGTGTTCCAGAATTTTTTGAAAGTTGAATCTGAAAGTAAAAAATCAAACTTAACTGAATATAGCAAAACTAAAATAGTATAAAGTCTAGTTATGGCTTTGTATGTGCTGTTGTCCTTCAGCCTAGGGAAGCTGGTAGAGTGGTAAGGACCTTCACAGTTACCCAAGAGGAAACAGAGAAAGTGAAGGGGCTGGACTTTCTTAACCCACTTCCATTTTTTTCTTTTGTTTAGATTCTGTGGGTACTAAAACCAAGAGGTTTTGTATTTATGGGAGATAACATTTGTCTGTACTCTCAGGCAAATTGTCATAACCTTTTAAAATATATTTTTTTTTCTCAGAAGAGCTAGGGTTTCAGTCCTAGGATGATGAATAGAAGACATGAGGAGGAGAGGAGAGGTTGAAGAGTAGGGATGGGGGTATGGTATACTGCCTATGATTCCAGCTGGAGGGACAGTGGCAGGAAGAGGAAGCTAAAGTAAGAGGTGTGGTTGGGAATGTCTCCCTTCTTTCTGTTCTTTCCCTCAGGCTCTGACCTACCTGTTCAGAAACGTTAGGGGCTAGTCTCAAGGAGCAGCTGGTATGAGGGATAAGATCGAGCAATAAAAGTTTATGGATTGAAGGAGGGAAATGCCTGCTAGTGGGAGCTGAAAAGAAGGAATATTCTTTCTCAGTGGCCCCTCCTGTATTCAGTCTATATGTACAGAGATACTTATTTTGTTTGGGAGAATTTTCTCCTTCAGTAGCCAAATTACTTGTCAATCACTAAGAAAAAATTTTCTTGGCTCTAATATTCAGCATGCTAAAAGCAGTGCATTATATGAAATAAGTAACTTGAAGGATAAGACAAAAATTCATATTTTTCTTTTTCTAAAAGTGTTTTTCTTTCATAAACACAGTCCTATGATAAAATAATTTTGGAAAACTTTTTTTTTAACTTGTTTTGGATTGTTCTCAAAATAATAAATAAATGGAGGAGATGGGGTTGAGGTTAAGGCAGGAATAGCTATGGATTTGTCATTGTTGGGGCCAGGTGATGGATACATGGTGGTTCCTCATATTATTTGTTTACTTTTTGTATATTTGAAATTAATTAATTAAAAATTGAAAAAAAACACTCCAGTTATTTATGGTAGTGCAGATGATGCTATTATTACATCATATTTGAAAAATGTTTTATTGAGTCTTCATTTCTATAACCACTCTGAAATTTGAAATACGAAATGAGCTATTATGATAACTATGTAGGAAGACAAAATTGGGCTTGTTTTGTATATTAATATGAATGTCAATATAATGTTTTATTGTACCTGATTTTTTGTTTTTTAATAGTAATATGAGGAAGTATATGTTCATAGATTTTGCAGGAATCTCATGATGGAAAGAGTAATCTATGAATTCCATCTTAAAAAACCCAGAATGAGTTATTAAATATTTATGTAATACTTATATATTTATATATAAAAATGATATATTAATAATATATAATATTAAATGAAATATTCTGTTAAAATTTAAAGCAAGTAGCAAAATCAGCTTGAGTTAATAAATCTAATTTTTTATAAACACATTTGATTAATTTCAAGTAAAATTTTTCATGTAAGTGTGCTTTTTAAAAATTTTACACTAGCTTATGGAAAGGTGAAAGACCTATTTTATTTATTTAGAAATGGTATATCATGCTGAATATTTTTCAAATTTAAAAAGAAAGGGTTTAAAATGCAGTTTAATGGATATAACTATAACACTGAAAGTTTTGGAATTCTAAGTTAAGAAATACGTGTTTAGAAATATATCACTTAGAAACATTGTATCTGATGCTCCTCCTAATACTCTCATTTAAATCATGTTGGCATTTTATTTTCATTTTAGGAGATCCTAAGAAAAAGCTCATATGTTCAGTGTGCAATAAAAAGTGTTCTTCAGCATCAAGCCTGCAGGAACATAGAAAGGTCAGTAAGATAAAGATTAATGCTCATCAGAGTATAAGATCTTTTAGTCATTTATAGTGTCTGCCACAAAAATTTTTAGTTGATTTTTATATGTATACAGACAGAGCTTTGTGGATAATTTATATGCTAACATATTCTAAAATACAAGACTGATATGCAGAAAAGTAAGGTCTTGCAAAAACATATTTGAATTGTTTATCACTCAGAATTAGTAGAAATATTTCTCCATTGCAAAGTGTTACATCTAACTGAGCCTTTCACTGCAACACCTCACCCTCAAATACCATATATTTGATGAAAACTTAACAGTTTTGTGTATTTATAATGTGCTGTGCAGTGGCACTTAGCTATTAAAAATGGATGCATATTATGGTTAAGTCTGGCAAAACAAAGACAAGAGCTCCATTATTTTGAAGAACTAAAAATAAGGTACAAGTATGTCAAAGTGTTGTTGGCAGGAACAAATGATTATATTTACAGAAAATAATTTTAATACATTTTGTAATAAGCATAAAGCTTACTAAGTTGTTACTATTTTAATGTGGAAATTTAACCTGAAAAATACTCAGTAGTTATTAACCCTAACAACAGTAGCAGCACTAGTTAATAGAATTTACAATAGAATAGAACTAAAGTAGAATTTCAATTTTTGTTCTTATTATAGCAAAATCTAGAAAAATTCATATTATATAATATCACCTTATATTGTAATAACAAAGATGAATGATTATTTTTAAATTTCACATCTTTTTTGTCAGAATATCTAGGAGCATATAATATTTTCTTTTAGTAATTTAATATCGAACAAGAGAAGAGATGGTACTAGTGAACGTAAAATTTTACTTTTCTTGTGGTTTACAAAATTAATTTATCTTTTTATTTGTATATTGATATATTCCAAAATAACCTGACAGACTTTAAAATTCATATGATATTCAGTCTGGTGGCTCTAACCACGTGCCATGGATTAATCTACAAACACATGAGATAGTTAGATGGCAAAGATGTCTGAGGTTATATTTTATATGTTGGGTGATTGTGATCCTCAGGGAGAAATAGTGGAACAAGCAGTGGACGGAGAGTGAGGACAGTGGGTGTCATCTTCTGTCCCTAACACTCCATGTAACATTGGGTCTCTGTTCTCTGTTTTATTACATGTGACTTGGAACTGATTCATGCCTTTTAATTTTTTCCTCTAAGTGCCATGAAACTTTTTTTTTCTAGTTTCCAAATGGTTTTCTTATAAGATTGTTTAAAAAATATAGAACACTTGAAGAATTTGTATGTAATTCTTGTGCACGGACCATGCTAATCTTCACTGTATCATTCCAATTTTAGTACTTGTACTGCTCACTTCACTGGCATTGCTTCTGAAGAAGAACCTAGTCTGAGACAAAAAGATTGTAACCGGGTGATGGGTATTAAGGAGGGCACACGTTGTGATGAGCGCTGGGTGTTATACAGAACAAATGAATCGTTGAACACTACGTCAAAAACTAATGATGTATTTTATGTTGGCTAACTCAACATAAAAAAAAATTATTAAAAGAAAGATTAAATCCAATTGAATAGATGTTTTTTAAATATCTTTGTACTTGTATGTATTTCTGGTCTCTAAATCGTAAGAAGTTGAAGTTTAAGGTATTTTACCAAGTTAAACATTTTACCAAATAAAATGTTTCAGGAAAGCTGGTTGTGGGGCATATTTCTGAAAAACGTTCTATTTTCCATTTATTTATTTATTTATTTTTCATAATATAAGAACCTTTTCCCGAAGGAATATCTTGGCAGATCTAAATACTACCTGGTGATGGTAGAACACAGCACCGAAGTTATCTCTGCAAAATGCTCATAACCTATTAGCTCAATGCAGCACTTCCTTCATTATAGCATAGCTCCTCTAACTTAGCCTTTCTGAATCCATAGGCAGCTTTTACTGACTCCCAATTTTGACTCTATTCTTACGGTTAGTTGGATATGTTGAATGTCTAGTAGAGTTTGGTTGCAGTATTTACCCTTGCCAGTAGAGGGTGCTTTATGAATATGCCAAATTACATTACAGTCTAGAGTGGTATCTTACATTACTATATACTATCCTATGTTACAATAAGACATATTATGGTCCTTCTTGAAAATGATCTAATTAGGGACTTCAAGTTGTAAGTTATTACCCTCCATATCAATTAGTAAGCTGGACATTTTGAAAATTGTGCTTTACTTAGCATTAGGCATAGATAAATGGTTTTACCTGTCATTTTCATCTGAAATCTGATTGTTTTATCATGCTTTTTTCGGATTTTTAAAAATAGCTTGGGCCTGAATTTTCCACTGTAAGTAAGGTATTCAACTCAAAAATGCTTTCATGTACAGTGAAAATTCTATTTTGTAATTATGGAAAATCAATTCAATTGAACCTTCAAAAATAATTCATGTTTCAGGAGCCACTAGAGTTAAGTGAACAAGTATAGGTACTATGCTGCAGTAGTTTTTTTAACAGTTAACGTTTTATATTTGGTTGAATAATTTTAGAAATTTAATATGTTAATATAAATTTCATATTAAAATTAAAATAAACTAAATATGTTTTCATTTATGTATGGTTCAGAAGGCATATCATCTTTTTAAGGGTATATTGTTAGTATAAAACATATTGTTATTATAAAAGGCATATATTACAGAAACACAGAGTTTAAGAATATAAATGTCTTCATACTATCTTTAAATAAATATTACGCATAATATCATTGCTCCTTAAACATAGTTGTTCGACCAAAGCCACGGTGAGGGTCTTGGATGATTGAAGAGGCTGTCTTTAAAATGGCTCAGGCTGAAAGTTTTTCTTCTGTACTGCGTACTACTTGCTTTCTGAGTACTTGTGCAGACTCCCCCCTTGTTTTCTGAGGAGTCATAGAACTCTTTGGACTCCATGTATTCACTGATTGAGATGAGGTGGCACTGTATGGAAGCAGAGATGTAAGTCAGACTCTAGTGGAATGACACCATTCTGCTTCTCCCTTGTTTATCTACCTTTTCTCTGCTTTTCTCAGAGGAGTTTACTCATCAGGGTCTGACAGAATCAGGTCTGACAGAAGCAGAAGGTGGCTAGGCAGCCTCAGACCTGCCATGGGGTTGGGCATAGAATTAAGGCACAGACTGCAGACCTGGGATCTGTTAACTTTCCTAGCTTTTGTTTCCCTGCCTTTCCCGCTTTTCACTCTCTCGGTCTTGAGTTCTTCTATGGCCACTTAGATCAAGGGAGCCGTTCACCAGAATACAACCCAAGCCCCTCTTTACTCACTGCTGTACCAGTTCATGGTCCTCTGCCTTGACTTCTCTCTGCAGTGGCCCTAGTTATTCTGCAAGGATAAGCATAGTATCTGGCTTTCCAAGGGAGGGCCTTTGCTTGTCTGGTGTTTAGTATTGTGAGCTCTACCTTTCACGAGGTTGAAACCAAAACCTAACTTCACCATTTTTGAATCTTTGGCAAAACAACGTGATGCTCTTGTTTATTGGGTTGATCAACATTTCTAATATAAGCCTTCTTGTAGTACATTCCTCTTAGAACTTTGTGCATTGTTTCTGATCATAAACTGGACTTCTACTTTTCATACCACCTATTCAATTTCTTTGAGTTAGTGTCTGGAAGGGAAAGAGCTAAACTTAATATCTAGTTGTAATAATTATTTAGCCAGTTGTTTGCTAAGGTTATGCTCCTCCTCTTCTTCTTACGGTTTTTGAGCTTTTCTTTTTGTTGTGATCTTCCTATCATGTAAGAATTTCACTGTGAGCTAAATGTTTTTCAGAATCATACATCTTCTTGCCTTTCATGGTAATTAATGCTTTGTTCTGTAGTATATACATTTAAATTTAAAATAGTTTGACTACTGTAAAGGAGATCTTATTACCTATAGATTACATATTTTCAAATCTAAATTTGTGCGTAACAAAGAATTAATGTAAATTAGGTATAACTTTTTACAGAGTGTAGAAATTTAATATTCCCTAAATAGTCAGCTGTATCACATATTTAAATACTGTGCTGCAATCTTGTATTTTCTTTCCTTTTTAAATTTTATTTATTTGTTTGAGAGAGAGAGCTAGAGTGGGGAGGGAGAGTGAGAGGAGGAAGCAGACTCCCCGCTGAGCAGGGAGCCTGACGTGAGGCTCCATCCCAGGACCCTGGGATCATGACCTGAGCCAAAGGCAGCCGCTTAACCGACTGAGCCACCCAGGCATCCTTCCAATCTTGTGTTTTCTTTTAATGATAAGATTTTACTAGGTAACATGTTCACTGCATTTTCAATTTATATAAGACAGTGTGAACAAATTAGGACTGAATACATAGATATTGCAGTAGCAGCTGTCTACATGTTTATACTTTTACTTTTGCTCTAATTTATTTGGCTTTGACAGTTGACTTAACTGTCCACTTAACCTTTGCAGATTCATGAGATATTTGATTGTCAAGAATGTATGAAGAAATTTATTTCAGCTAACCAGCTAAAACGTCACATGATCACTCACTCAGGTAAAGTATATATTTTTCCATTTATATTGAAATCACTATGAAAGATGCACATTGTCATTTTTAGGAGCTCTGAGAGTAGTAATCAGGAAGCCTGGCTCTTAGTTCTAGTTTGGCCATTAATTAGTCATGTGATTTTGAACAAGTTACTTAGCCTCTCTAGACCTGTTTATTTATAAAGCCAAGGTGATTGGACTAAATGATATCAAAGATCTTCAGAGTCACCATTTAACTTGTAATCTACTCCTCTTTGAGCCTTAGATTCTGTTCTTTATCTGTGAAAAGGTATCTTACCTTTCAAAATTACTGTGAAGTTTAAATGAGATCATTATGTATTGTGCTAGCATAATAATGTCTGACTTTTAGGAGGGATTCAGCAATTAGAATTTCTACCTTTCTAGATACTTTCACATTCTAACTAAGGTACTAATAAATATTAGTGAGAAATTTATAAATACATTTTGAGAATACAAGTTTTTAAAGCTGTAGTTTCATTTTAGGCAAGTTTGAGTAATAGGGCTGTTAAACAGATTTTTCAAAAATAAGGTCTGAGAATAAATTTTGCTTTATGAAGTCTCCTTCTAGAGTTTAGAACATCTATCATTGGAGGCCACTGAAGTCAGAATGTTTTTGAATATCCACTTTGCTTGGCGACAGATATAGATATTTTGACAAATGGAAATAGGAGATCAAACACTGGTGGACTGTTCAGATATGCTTTGTTTGAAACAAGCAGTATTTTTTAAATCTAGTGGTCAACATTACATGAACATTGCATAAATATGGATTTTATACAATAACCTAGGTGTGTTGTTTCTGCTGAGAATTGAAGCTGTGCCCATATGGGGTCCACTTGTTCGAGTAGGAGGCAGGTCTGTCATTTACTTTTATCACTGTCAGGCCACTCTTGGCATTCGGGGTTGTGACCCTGGTTTAAACTCACACCTATAAGCAGATTTTTCATCTGGAAGTAGGACTTTTTCCTTGAATTTAAATTTCATCCTTACATCTAAGCTGCTTTATACACGTAGTTTACAGTATAGGTCTATAAAAGAACTAGCTTACATTTCTTTTGTGAATAGGCTCATGTATCTAACAGAAATGGATTGGAAAGTAGATTTTTTTCTCAGTTGTTTCAATCATGTTTTAGTTGACTTATCCATAAGAAGTAATATAAGGTAAGGCTATTTCCGTTTTTGTCCTTTACTTTTATATAGATGTGAGATTGTCTGCACTCATTTTTCACAGAAAAACGACCCTATAATTGTGAGATTTGTAATAAATCTTTCAAGAGGCTTGATCAAGTGGGCGCCCACAAAGTAATACACAGCGAAGATAAGCCTTACAAATGCAAGCTTTGTGGAAAGGGATTTGCCCACAGAAATGTTTACAAGAATCACAAGAAGGTAAAACCTTATTCATATTATTATTACTGTCTTTGCTGATTTGTTTTTGATTTCTAATTGTTGTTTTTTTTTTTAGAGGTTTTTGTATATCTGGACATGCTGTACATGTGGACTAACTAGAGGACGATTTTGCTTATACGTTCTACCCCCTCACTCAGGCCATAACCCCACCTGGCCTTATTTCCTGTTTTCCATCCTCTGTTGAAACTGTTCTTATAAGCAAAGTGTCATCTAGTGTTTCCCAGTGTTGTACTAATTACAAACTCTTTTCTTCTTTTCCTTTTTTCTCTAAAATTTGACACTCTTGTTCATGGTAGCTTTTTTGAAATTCTCTTCATCTTTGATGTATAATTGGCTAGGTGTTCCACCAATTTCTCTGGACACTTTCATCTCTCCTCCCTCAGGAAGTTATCCTGGATGCGTTGGCTATGGACCTCTTCTAGGTTCTCTGCATCAGCTACATCCATGACTTCTGCCATCAACTCTATACCAGCAAATCCCAAATGATTTCTTTCTTTAACCCAGGCTTCAGACTCACATTTATTTTTCTTTATTTGATACATAATTGTATATCTTTTTGACCTAATGAATTTAGCATGTCCCAGAATGACCTTTTTATTCTTTATGCCCCAGATAACCTCTCTTTTGGAGTTTCTTCTTTTTGTTAATGAGAGCATATATTTATTCCTGTCTGTTTCTTTAGTCTTAGACCCTTTTTAAAATTAGAAGCCAGTTCTTTTTTTAAATTATTTTAATTTTTATGTATTTATGTATTTATTTATTTATTTTGAGAGAGAGAAAGAGAGTGAGCAGGGGAAGGGACAAAGGAAGAGGGAGAGAGAGAATCTTAAGCAGGCTCCATCCCCAGTGCGGAGCCTGACTTGGGGCTTGATCTCACAACCCTGAGATTATGACCGGAGCTGAAATCAAGAGTTGGAAGCCCAACTGACTGAGCTACCCAGGTACCCCTAGAAGCCAATTCTTAAAGATGCTACCCTCTACATTGGCTCATCACCCTCATTCCTTTACCATCCTATATCCTGATTATTGCTCATCTTCATTACTTTAATACCCATCTAATCAAATTCTTATTACTTTTCACTTTCCACTTACCCATCCTCCTAGATAAATTGTTCCACAGTGCAACTCTATCACTCTTGTACTCTAATATTATGAGTAGATTTCCAATGCCTATGAAAGTTATAGCATATGCATGTTACCCTGTCATTCAGAGTTCTCTACCCATGACCTCAGCTTTTCTAGATTTTTATCCTTTTCTCTGCATTAGTCATACCTAAGACAACTTGGCATTTGCTTTCAGTCAGCGTGACCTAACTTTCCCTTCTTCTTTTCTTTAAATTTTTAATTTTATTTTTAACTAAACTCTACACCCAATGTGGGTATTGAACTCATAACCTGAGATTAAGAGTCACCATGCTCTACTGACTGAGTCAGCCAGGTGCTCTACCCCTTCCTCTTTTCTGATAGGACTCCAAGTTATGGTCTCTTAGTTTTCTTAATTTCTGTTTGCATTTCCTATGCTTTACCTTTACTCTGGTTCTTGTTTCAGAATGTATTAGTTTTATTTATCTACTCTGTGTTGATAATAAATAATGTTTGAGTTGAATTCAGAATATTTGTCCAAAGACATTCAACATCTAAATAATGCATATTAAGATGTATTTATGATGTGATAAATAATTGATTATTGATATTTTAGAAAGGTTTTATTGAAGTATAAATGGCATACAGTATTATTAGTTTAGTGTATACAAATAGTGATTTAACGTTTGTATACATTGTAATCTGATTACCACAGTAAGTCTACCATCTGTCATTGTACAAAGTTAATACTATATTATTGACTGTATTCTTTATACTGTACATTATATCCCCATCACCTATTCATTTTATAACTGGAAATTTGTGTCTCTTGATTCCCTTTACCCATATCACCCCCTTAACCCCCTCACCTTTTGGCAACCACCACTCAGTTCTCTGTCTGTGAATCTGGATTTTGTTTTGTTCTATTTGGTAGTAAGTTGTCTATTTTTTTTTTTTTTTTTGGCTTCCACTTAATAAGTGAAATTATGAAGTATTCATCTTTCTCTGTTTCACTTATCTCATTAGCCTAATACCCTCAAGGTCCATCCATGTTGTCACAAATGACAAGATTTCATTCTTTTCTGTGGCTGAATAATATTCCATTGTATACACATGTACTTCATGTTCTTTATATATTTATCTATCGATGGACACTTAGATTGTTTCCATATCTTGACTATTGTAAATAATCATGCAATGAATGTAGGGGTGCGTATATTTTTTTTTAATTAGTGTTTTGTTTACTTTGGATAGATACCCATCCGTGGAATTGCTGGATAATATGGTAGTTTTTAATTTTTTGAAGAAATTTAGTACTGTTTTCCATACTGGTTGCACCAGTTTACATTCACACCAACAGTGTATGGGTTTTTTTTTTTTTCCCTACATCCTTGCCAACACTCGTTATTTCTTGTCATTCTGATGATAGCTATTCTGATAGGTGTGAGGTAATATCTCACTGTGACTTTGATTTGCATTTCCCTGATGATTAGTGATGTTGAGCATCTTTTCCTGTTGGCCATCTATATGTCTTCTTTGGAAAAATGTCTATTTACATCCTTTGCCTATTTTTTAATGGGTTTTTTTTATTGTTGTTGTTGTTGTTATTGAGTTGTATGTGTTTATTATATATTTTGAATATTAACCTTTTATCAGATATATGACTTGCATATATCTTCCCCCATTCAGTAGGTTGTTCATTTTGTTGATGGTTTTCTTTGCTGTGCAGATGTTCTTTAGTTTGATGTAGTCCTATTTGTTTATTTTTGCTTTTGTTGCCCTTGTCTTTGGAGCCAGATCCAAAAAACATTGCTAAGACCGATGTCAAGGAGCTTACTGCTTATGTTTTCTTTTAGGAGTTTTATGGTTTCAGGTCTTACATCAAGTCTTCAATCCATTTTAAATTAATTTTTGAATATTGGGTAAGATAGCAGTTTAATTTCATCCTTTTGTATGTGGCTGTCCAGTTTTCCCACTACTATTGATTGAACAGAATGTTCTTTCCCCATTGTATATGCTTGCCTCCCCTATCATAAATTAATTGACCATATATGCATGGCTTTATTTCTGGGCTGTCTATTCTGTTCCATTGATCTATGTGTCTATTGTTTTGTTAATATCATATTGTTATGATATAGCTTTGTAGTATAATTTGAAATTTGGGAATGTGATACCTCTAACTTTGTTCTTCTTTATCCAGATTGCTTTGGCTATTTGTAGTCTGTAGTTCCATAAAATTTTAGAGTTATTGTTTCTCCTTCTGTGAAAAATGCCATTGGAATTTTGGTAGGGATTTTATTGAACCTGTAGATTGCTTTGGGTAGTATGGACATTTTAACAGTATTAATTCTTCCAATCCATGAGCATGGCATATCTTTCCATTTTTTTGTGTCTTCAGCTTTTTTCATCAATTTGTTATAGTTTCCGAGTACAGGCCTTTACCTCTTTGGTTAAATTTACTCCTAGGAATTACATTCTTCTCGATGCAATTGTAAATGGGATTGTTTTCTTGATTTCTCTTTCTTATAGTTAATCTTATTAGTGTGTGAAAATGCAGTGGAATTTTGTGTGTTAATGTTGTATCTTGAAACTTTATTGAATTCATTTATTAGTTCTAACAGCTTTCCTGGTGAAGTCTTTGGGATTTTCTATATATAGTATCTTTCATCTGCAAATAAGGACAGATTTACTTCTTCCTTTCAATCTGGATGCCTTTTAGTTCTCTTTCTTACTAAATTGCTTTGGCTAGGACTTCCAATATTATGTTGGATAAAAGCAGAGAGAGTAGACATCCTTGTCTTGTTCCTGATTTTAAGGGAAAACTTTCAGCTTTTCATCACTGAGTTTGATATTAGCTGTGGACTAGTTATATATGGGCTTTATTATGTTGAGCTACATTCCCTCTATACCTACTTTGTTTAGAATTTTTATCATAAGTGAATGTTGAATTTTGTCAAATGCTTTTTCTTCATCTCTTTGAGATGAGCATATAATTTTTATCTTTCATTTTGTTAATGTGGTTTATCATGTTGATTGATTTGTGAATATTGAAACCATCCTTGCATCTCTGGAATAAATCCACTTGATCATGGTATATGATCTTAATGTGTTCTTGAATTCGGTTTGCTAATATTTTGTTGAGGATTTCTGCATCTATTTTTTTCTGTTATATTGGCTCATAATTTTTTTTTCTCTCCTCTTCCTACACTGCCTCCTCTTCTTTTTTTTGTGGTGTCTTTGTCTAGTTTGGGTATCAGGGTAATATTGTCTTTATAAATGGGTTTGGAAGCATTCCCTCCTCTTCAATTTCTTTTGGAAGAGTTTGAGAATGCTAGGTCTTAAATCTTTGAATGTTTGGTAGAATTCACCAGTGATCCCATCTTGTCCTGGATTTTTGTTTGTTGAGAAGTTTTGATTACCGATTCAGTCTTCTTACTGTAATTGGTCTATTTAGATTTTTTATTCATGATTTGGTCTTTTTTAAAAGTTTATTTATGGGAATTTATCTATGTCTTCTAGATTATCCAATTTTTTGACATGTAATTCTTTTTGTAGTTGTATGATGGTTTGCATTTCTGTGGTATCAGTTTTAACTTCTCCTCTTTCTGATTTTATTTATAAGAACCTTCTCAGCCTCTATTTCACTGACTTCCATTCTGATCTTTATTATTTCCTTTCTTCTACTAGCTTTAGGTGTCATTTTTTCTTCCGTTTTTGTTTTTTTTTTTCTTTTTCTAGTGGTTGGGAAAGATGCTTGATATGATTGAAATCTTTCTGAATTTTTTGAGACTTGCTTTGTGGCCTAACATGGGATCTATCCTGGGGAATATTCTATGTGCACCTGAGAAGAATGTGTATTTATCTGCTTTTCGATGAAAGGTTCTGTATTTATCTAT